AAGAATTCATATATAGAAAATGAAAAATGATGAAATAAGACACAAAATGTGGTGGACATATAGTCAAAAAGATAAGGCAGGCAATTTATGAGAAAAAAGTGTGAAGCCGTTTGAAAAGATGCTTACTTTCCCCAGTTTTCAAGCCAGGAAAACGGCTGATTTTCATTCGTCCCTTTCTGTTGCACTCCAACAAATGCACCCAGTCTCAGCCCTTCTACTAACTGTTTGCCTTACAGAAACTTTTTGTTTTTTATATATATACAAAACAACAAAATTTGGCATGGGTTGTTTTTAAAGAAAATATGCTCCTACTATGGTTTCCTGTTTGGAGGTTTTTGCTGTTTGTTTGTTTTTTGAGACGGTGTCTCACTCTGTCGCCCAGGCTTGAGTGCAGTGGCATGATCTCAGCTCACTGCAACCTCCCCCTCCCAGGTTCAAGTGATTCTCCCACCTTAGCCTCCTGAGTACCTGGGATTACAGGCACCCGCCACCATGCCCAGCTAATTTTTGTATTTTTAGTAGAGATGGGGTTTCACCATGTTGGCCAGGCTGGTCTCAAACTCCTGACCTTAAGTGATCCATCCGCCTCAGCCTCCCAAAGTGCTGGGATTACAGGCTTGAGCCACTGCACCCAGCCCTGACATTAGAAATTTCTAGGTAGCACAATGAAAATCTTAAAAATTATCAAACACCCACATGAGCTAACTTCTTTTATACACTAAAATTCTAACAAATCATTAAAGATCACACCTAATATGTAACTGAAAGAATATGAAATGAATGTAGAATACTGTACCATGTATCATGATTCATATTCTTAAACATCAAAAAGATTGATAATACTTAGTACAGTCAAGTATGTAGAAAAAACCAGCAAAGAAGTTATAAACTGTATACAGCATTTTGTGGTGGAATAGTTGGTTTATATGTATCAAAATTTACATTGGAAACATCCTTAACACAGCAATGCTCTTTCTAGAATTTTACCCTAGACCTTTAATACATCAGTAAGACAAGACAACCCAACAGAATCAAGACTCATAGCAACAGAAATATTGGTGGCCTGGAAGCATACAAAAAGATTATAATCATTACTGAAACTCACATACATGCTGTCATTTACCTGTGAGAGTGGTAAACTTTGAAAAGATAGTTAAGAGCCACTGTGGATGAGAGTACTGGCTGGTTGACAGGTAATTTGGCTGTTCTTATTAAAGCTCTTTTTCTTATTTTAACCAGCAGTTGCATTTATAGGACTCCATCCTAGTGAAATATTTTTTATGTCCATAAAGATGTCCAAAGCAGTTCTATTCATACTAGCAAAAAGTAGGAGAAAGCCCTAAATGTCCCATGTTCCTGAGAATCCAGTAATGGTTGAATGACAGCTGGACTACGAGGTGACATTGTTCATGGTAAAAATGACCCCTGATTGGTAAACAAATTGCATGTGGACTAGCAGGACTAGAGAGTGGTTAAATAAATTGCCACATCTGTACTCTGCAACTGTCATGATAAAAATTGGCTGACAAATAAGAATGTTTGGAATACTTTTGTCTAAGTGAAAAAAATCAAAGTTCAGAAAAGCTTAGTAGGAGTGGCCAGGTGTGGTGAGTGACACCTGTAATCCCAGCACTTTGGGAGGCCAAGGCAGGTGGATCGCTTGAGGTCAGGAGTTCAAGACCAGCCTGGCCAACATGGTGAAACCCCATCTCTACCAAAAATACAAAAAATTAACCGGGCATAGTGGCACATGCCTGTAATCCCAGCTACTCAGGAGGCTGAGGCAGGAGAATCGCTTGAACCTGGGGGCGGGTGGAGGTTGCAGTGAGCCAAGAACGCACCACTGCACTCCAGCCTGGGCGACAGAGCAAGACTCTGTCTCAAAAAAAAAAAAAAAAAAAAAGAAAAGAAATTTCCAATGTCTAGGTAGTCAAGTTTATCACTCTATAGCAGTGTATTTTATGAATTTGGGGAAAGACTATCTGCAACTACAAAACTATCAAAACTTTTAACTTATCTACCACTTTTATGGTTATCTTTTACACATTTAAATCTCTAATCCATCTGTTATTTACTTGGGGGCTCAGAGTGAGATGAGTAATTTACTTTTATGGAGTTTCTTCCCTCCATGAATACCTAGCCAGATTTTTCTGATGATGTCTTTTGTGCAGAGACTTAAGATACTTTTACCATGAAGTAACCGCTGACACTTTACTCAGAGGATCTATTAGTCGTTATTAACTCTCGTCATCATTGTCATATTTAGCTCTGTGTTATTGGAAACCTGATAATGGGATGACAGCTATTTTACTGAGTCTGAGAGATAGGGAAGGAATCCTGCATTTTTCCTACTGTCTACTCTCACTTGACACAACATTTCTCACACCAGATGTGATCCCAGGCCCCAGGCTGTTTCCCCACATACCAGCCAGTTCTCCAGTGGACACCAGCTGGGTGTCCTCTAGGTCAGTTCCCTTCTGACACCGTCTACCTGGAGTTACTGTCAGCTCCCACAGGTTGGGGCTTAGTCCCACAAGACTGCCCCCCACTCGAGATGCCAGTCGCAAGTAGGGTGTCACCTATACATCTGACGGATGGGCCACAAACTGGGGGTTCCCAGGACCCAGGGAAACTGAGTTTCTTTCCCCTATTTGTTATAAAGGACATTACAGAGGATAAAGATGAACAGCCAGATGGAAGAGATGCATAGGGCAAGGGATGTGGGAAGGTCGATGGACCTTTCGTGCCCTCTCTGGACTCACTGCCATCCAGGAACCACCAAGTGTTCAGTTGTCTGGAAGCTGTCCGAACCCACCCAGTCCTTTGGATGTCGTTGTCGCTGTTTTTCAGAGACAGGGTCTTGCTCTGTCTCCCAGGCTGGAGTACAGTGGTGCGATCTTGGCTCACTGCAGCCCCAACCTCCTGGCCTCAAGTGATCCTCCTCAGCCACCTATAGTGCTGAGATCACAGGAGCGAGCCACCACGCCTGGCCACAGTGGGGTTGATCATCATTGGCCCTTGGTGAACAACTCAACCTTCAGCTTTTCTCCCCTCCCAGGAGTTTGGAGGATGGAGATGAAAGTCCCAGCCCTCTAACCCTGCCTGGTTTTCTGGTGAGCAGCCCACATCCAGAAGCTACCTAAGGGCTATTAGCCAACAGTCATCTCAATATATATGACTTTTGATCACTTCAGGGGCTATTCCAAAGGTTGAAGGAGTTTTTTGCCAGGAGACAGGTCAAAAGCCAAATATATATTTCACAATATCAAACCAGGTGACATCACTCCCAATAAAAATGACTCCAGATTTGTAAACATACTGTATCTGGACTGGGAGGACTGAGTAAACTATGACTAGCTGGTAGGAAGCCATGGATTGGGGTTTTCTTTTTCTTTTCTCTCCTTTTTTTTTTTGAGAAAGAATCTCGCTCTTCTTGCCCAGGCTAGAATGGAATGGCACAATCTTGACTCACTGCAACCTCTGCCTCCCAGGCTCAAGCGATTCTTTTGCCTCAGCCTCCCGAGTAGCTGGGATTACAGGCATGTGCTACCATACCTGGCTGATTCTGTATTTTTAGTAGAACGGGGTTTCACCATATTGGTCAGGCTGGTCTTGAACTCCCAAACTCAGGTGATCTGCCCACCTTGGCCTCCCAAAATGCTGGCATTACATGTGTGAGCCATCACGCCTGGCCAGATTGGGGTTTTCTGAGTACATTGTCACTCAGTGATATGTAACTGGGCACATCTTTTACTGGGACCCTGGAAGCCATGCTACTGGGACCATTACAAGAGACATTGGTCTATGGAACAGGTTCGGGCTTCCAAGCAATGTCATCCTAGCACTCAGCAGTGTGGTTTTGTTTCCGGGCACCGGAGCTATCACGAGGGGGGACAGATTGGGCTAATAGCTCCTGGATTGCTCTGAGAAGCACTCTTGCTGGAGAAACCTCCCTGTCACCGCCCTCTGGCACGCTGGCTTTCCTGTCTCCTCTCCTTCCGCACAGCTGGGTAAACTGGTGTCCACTGTGGCTGGTTTGGGCCTTATGTGTGCAACAAGTGGCTTGAGTTGAAGGCCACCAAAGTGAGAGCATGACAGGATGGGATCCGGAGCAGAAACGGGGGGTATTGGTCTTTGCGAGGAATTGGGGCACTTGCAGAAGTGAGTTTCTGTTTGGTGGTGACAAGGCCAAGCACGGACCCTTCCCCTTTTGCCTTGGTCAGCTGCCCAGGCCACAGACTTCTGGCTTCCTGTTGTTTGTCTGATGAAGGTTAGAATGGTTTGTCGTGATTGGTTAGCTATGTTTAGAACTGTTTGTTGTAGCTCTGTGTCTCCTGCGAAGCCTGGTCTGACAGCCCCAAGCAGAATTGACTTCCTCCTCTGTGGGCCACCCAGACCCTGTCCTACATCTGTCCCTGTCCCTGTGAGGCAGGCTTCCTCCCTTCCTCCGTTTCGTCTGTGAGTGTCTAAGTGTCGCTTTTCTCCCTCTACTAAACCGAAGCTCCTTGAGTTCAAGACGTATCATTTTGTATTAATCGTTACTTCACAGGACTTACCAGCCTGGCCTCTATTCAGTAAACATGTGTTGAATGAATGAATTTCCAGGGTGAGATATTTCTCATACCCTGTATGTTTCTCCTATAAAGTTCCAAATGATTTTAGTCATGTAGATACTCTATGTAATATACGGTGCCAAACCGACTAGTGACTGTCATAAGAACAATTAATTACATGAGAAAGGCTGACGTGGGTGCGGGAGCCAGACCGCATGGATTCGAATCCCTCATTCCTGGCTGTGTGACCTGAGCTAGTTACTTAGGCTCTGTGCACCTCAAGCTCTTCATCTGTCAAGTTTCTCCTAGGGTGGCAGTGAGGATCGAAATCTTTAGTACGTGTGAGGACTTCAGAGAGCACAGAGTAAGCCCTCCATGTGCGTGAGGTGCCATGTCGCAGTGCCCCAGGCTGGTCCCAGGGTGCTAAAGAGGAATGTGCCATTACAGGAATCGTTGACCTTCAAGGACGTGTTCGTGGACTTCACCCTCGAGGAGTGGCAGCAACTGGACTCTGCCCAGAAGAACCTCTACAGGGACGTCATGCTTGAGAACTACAGCCACCTGGTGTCTGTGGGTGAGGGACCGCGTCACAATGTGATGCAGAATGCCCCCAGTACTGTCTTTCTTTCTCAGCTGCTCCAAGCTCTGGGGCTGGGAACAATGAGTGTGGGTTACAAGCCTCAGTGGGTTTGGGTACAGCCCACTGTGTAGTATTCGTAGTCCCGTTTGGACGCCGGACAGCATATTGGTGCCATTGCTTGCTTTGTGAATGTTCTGTACTGAGGGGCAGATAAGCTGTATGCATGGGGCAGTCACCAAGGCCGTGCCACCTTCAGCCTGCAGAGATGGGCCTAGGTTCTGGAATTGCTCAGCATTAATAACGAAGTCCTGTGTCATTTCCCCTCAACAGGGTATCTGCTTGCCAAGCCAGATATGATCTTCAGGTTGGGACCAGGAGAAGAGTCCTGGAGGGCAGATGGAGGGACCCCGGTGCGCACCTGTGCAGGTGAGGACAGGCCAGGTGAATCAGGCTGGGGAAAGGGGACCAGGTTGGTTGGTGAGAGCTTGGCTTCTGGGATGCGCTCAGGAGCCCTCCTAAGAGCCCCGGACTTGCCGACACGCCTAGGCTCTGATGAACGGAGCTGTTGTTGTATGCACATGAGGCCTCTGCCTGGCAGCCAGTTACAGTCTGTGTGTTCTTTGCTTGGCGTTCACATAGGTCGTGGCCACTCTTGTTCTGAGATCCCATTTCTACCTTCCAGCCTCCTGGCTTTCTGGTGACAAGTGCCAAGCCCCTTTTCATTCCTCTCCCGCCACCTTTATGGAAATTTTTAAGACTTATTCTCCTACCTTCTAGGCCTTTTGTATTTTCACCATAGTAGATGTATTAATAGATGTCAGCATTTCCTCTTTACTGGGCATACTGTGGGCCCTTTCGGGCTGAAATTTGGAATTTTTTTTTTTTAGCCTAAGGTATATTATCATACCTGTTTTTTTTGGAAGCCAGTATGGACACCAAAGCTTTGCCAGTGACCTTTACCAGCCAGGTACCTACCACATTCTTGCCTGTTCTCACTTTGTAGTTAACACTATAAACCTCACACCATTTTCTGTTTTCTCTACTTATTTCTTCTCAGACTCTTACAAATCTGACTTGATACTACCTGTTATCAGATTCCTCCACTTTTCAATACATACTTCACACTTAACTCTTGCTTTTGATATTATCTCTTTACTTATTCACAATATAAACACACTTGAGAGGACATTACTCCCACGGTGGAATACTTCAGTGAACCGTATTTTAGTCCTGCATAGAGCTGCTTTTTCCTTGTCTGTTTTTCCTGTGGGCTGCCTATAAGGATCCAGAAACTCTTCAGATACACTGGTCTGCTCTTTCTCTCCCCTTCATAGTAACCCCTTCAGTGGCCTATGGCAAAGAAGCCTGTTTAGAATGTTCTTACTCTTCAGACGGTGATCCCTGAACCAGCAGCCTGGGCATTGTTGGGGCTCTAAGTAGAAAATCAGAATCTGAGGCCCCACTCTAGATTTTCTGAATGAGAATGTGCATTTCAACAAGCTCCCCAGGGACACTATAGGCATAGTAAAGCTTGAGAACCACTGCTCATTAGAGATTAATTTCAGAGCATCAACTGCAGTCAGGTGCGGGCCATAGGGACCTACAGATGACTCCTCAGATGGCTTCCTCCAGAACCCACTCCTCAGTGCACACACCTGCTCTCTGAGATCCTCCCTGTGCTGGCATTTGTGGCTCCCACCACTCTGTAGCTTCCCCCAGGAATGTTTAGGCAAATGATAACCTCTTTAGTGCTCAGTGTAACTCCACATCTGCTGCCTAGAGATTCATCAGGATTTCTGGTATGCTGACAGTATGCTTGTTTTCTTCCAGTGATGCCTGGAATTGTAATGACAGTGTGTCTTGTTCTCATTTCAGTGCTATCCTGGAAGGGAGGAAAAGCAAATTCAGGCACAGTCCACCCTCCTGAGTCCCAATTCTCTCATAAAAAAAACTATATTATATTAAAATACAGACATTTATACATTCAGTCTAAGAGTGCAGAACAGTATAGGCTAAAGAGTAATCTTAGGTACATTCCCAGTCATGCCTTCCAAGGGCAGCTTCTTATAAAGGTTTCTCTTTGGCTCTGAGCACTTCCATAGGTTTAGGGAATATGTTGTTATTATCCATTAAAAAGTTTTTTTTTTTAATTTAATGTGGTTGTTGTTAACCAGAGATGTATTACATAGTTACCTGTGGATCTGTCAGAATACTCATGAGTAGGCCCCACTTTAGAAATTGTTTCAGAAAGCCTGGGGTAGGCCTGGTTATGTGCATTTTGAATGACACTCCAGAGGATTCTGATGCCCATCTTTGGTTAAGATTCACTACTTGAAATATCTGCTGAGAGGAACTGCAAGGATAGCAATTGCAAGATAGCAATGAGCATGCAAGCAGGATGGGATGGGATAGGATAGCTAGTGAGGAACGTGGCCAGAATTCCAACCCAGGCTATGTGGCTCCACAGTCTATGTTCTTAGCCACTTGCGTGTAGATGAATAATGTGGACTCACTCCTAGGCAGTCTCCAGACTCCCAGGGTTGGAATCAGAAAGCAACTTGAATTTCTTCCTTGTTCCTCTCTATTTAAATCTATTTCAGGAAATGTATTTTTCCCCCTGCCTCCTGGATGAAACCACTGGCTGGTCCCATGAGTTGGCTGGTCATTCTGAGATAATAAAAATCTTCTAGGAACTGTTACTTTCAAGAATAGCCTCATTATAATAATGAAAACTGTCCAGTCTCATGTTGTAGTACAAACTGAAGTTTATTTCAAGTTTGTTGATCTTTTCATAGAAGTTTTAGCTTTATTAATTTTTTCCACCATTTTTCTGTTTTATTGATTTCTCCTTTTATTTCCTTTTTTCTACTAACTTTCAGTTTACTTTGCTGTTCTTTATTTAGCTTTTCCCCCCTCAACATTTTATTACGAAAATTTTTGTATAAAACAAGTAAAAAAATTATAGACTAAACACCATATAATCCCTATATGGGTGTTGTTCTGTAATAACACCTGGATTTATAATAACTATAAACATTTTGCTCTGTTTATCTCCTGTCTGTGCCAATTCCTCTGTCCTTCCATCAATTTGATTTATTTTTTGTTGTGCATTTCAAAGGAAGTTACAGAAATCAGTACCCTTAACCCCGAAATACCTCCACAGGCGTATCATTGATTAGAGTTCAATATTTGTTAGTACTTTATCATTAGTGTTCATGAAGTATTTTAATAAAACAAAATGCCCTAATGGCACCATATGATCTTTGGCTGTACATGTTACTGTTTGAACATAATTTTCTATATGTGTTTTTCATATGTGGTCATTATATATTTATGCTGATGTGACTACATTTTTTTTCAAATGAAATTAATTAAGGTATAATATACATACCATGAAATTCATCTTTCTTAGGTGTACAGTTGTATAGTTTTGACAAATGTATAGCTGTGTAACTACTACCACAATCAAGGTATTGGACATTTTCATCTCCTACAAAAAACTCCATGTTTCCTTTTGTAATTTAGTCTCTTTCCTCATCCCAGGCTTGATCTCTTTTCCTTCTAGTTTGGTTCTTTCTAGAATGTCATGCGGCTGGCTTCTTTCACTTACCTTAATGCATTTTAGGCTCATCCATGTTGTGGCATGTATCAGTTTGTTCTTTTGATAGCTGAGTAGTGTTCCAGTTTGTCTGTTGATGTACCACTTAATGCACATTTAAACTGTCCCTGTTTTTTTGATTATTATGAATGAAGTTGGTGAACATTCTTGTATAGGCATTTCTGTGGATCTTTGTTTTCATACCTCTTGGGTAAATATCTGGAGTGAGATTGCTTGGCTGTATGGTAAGCATATGTTGAACTTTATAAGACATTGTGCCCAGCACGGTGGCTCATGCCTGTATTCCCAGCACTTTGGGAGGCTGAAGCAGGCAGATTGCTTGAGGTCCGAAATTTGAGACCAGCCTGGCCAACATATAGTAAAACCCCATCTCTACTAAAAATACAAAAATTAGCTGGGTGTGGTGGTGCACACCTGTAATTCCAGCTACTTGGGAAGCTGAGGCAGGAGAATTGCTTGAACCCAGGAGGCACAGGTTGCAGTGAGCTGAGATCATGCCACTCTATTCCAGCCTGGGCAACAGAGTGAGACCCTGTCTCTCAAAAGAAAAAAAAAAGATACTGTCAAGTGTTTTCTAATGTGGCTGTACTACTTTGTTTTCCCGCCAACAACACACCTTTCTAGTAGGTATGTAGGGGGATCTCATTGTGATTTAAATTTACATTTCTGTAATGATCAGTGATGTTGAGCATGTTTTCATGTGCTTATTTGCCATCTGTATATGTTCTGTGGTGAAGTGTCTATTGTAATCTTTTGCCATTGTTTGTTATTAAATTGTGAGAGTTATTTACATCAATATATATGGACGTAAGTCCTGACCAGCTATGTGTTTTCCAAGTATTTACTCCTAGACTATGGCTTGTTTTGTTCAGAACAGTATCTTTTGAAAAATAAAGTTTCTGTTTTTTTATAAAATCCAATTTATTAAATTTTTCTTTTATGGTTCATGTTTTTATGTCCTCTTTAGCAAATCTCTCTCTAACCCAGGGTAATAGAGTTTTTTTCATATGTTTTCTTCCAGGAGATTCATAATTTTAGTTCTTATATTTAAGTCTATGACTGTTAATGACTTAATTTTTGTATCTGGTGTGAGGGAAGGGTCAGCATACTTTCATATTATTTTTACATATGCATTTCCAGTAACATTTTTGAAAAGAATATTCTTCTTCTCAAATCAACAAGTGATCCATTTGTAATTTGACATCTACTTTAAAATGATGCTGGGTGTGGTGGCTCACACCTGTAATCCCAGCACTTTGGGAGGCTGAGGTGGGAGGATCCCATGAGCCCAGGAGGTTGAGACCGGCCTGGGCAACATAGTGAGACCCTGTCTCTACTAAAAAATTAGCTGGGCATGGTGGTGGTGTGCACCTGTAGTCCTAGCTACTCAGGAGGCTGAGGCACAAAAATCACTTGAATCCAGGAGGCGGAGGTTGCAGTGAGCCAAGATCACACTACTACACTCCAGCACTCCAGCCTGGGCAACAGAGTGAGACTCTGTCTCAAAAAAAATATCAAGGGTAAGAATTTCACTAGGAAACTAGGATATATAAAATAATCTAATGAAAACTGAAAATTAAGAATTTAATATATATGAAAAAGGAAAAAGAAACACAAACTTTAAAAACAACAACAAAAAAAGAATTTAATATATAGACTTAATAGCAGATAAACCAGAGCAGAAGAGAGGATAAATGAGAAAGATAAGTTACTATCAAATATTCACAGTCTATTCTAGACTGTTCTTTCTTAGTTAACTTACTTTGGCATCCTTTTTGAAAAGTACTTGAACATATGTGTCACTCTGCACACCAGTACAGGTTGAGTATCCCTAATCCAGAAATCCGAAATCCAAAATGCTCTAAAATCCAAAACTTCTTGAGCCACCAACATGGCATCCAAAGGAAATGCTCATTGAAGCATTTCAGATTTCATATTTTCAGGTTAGGCATGCTGAACCAGTAAATATATAATGCAAACATTCTGAAAAACAAAAAAATCAGAAATCCAAAACACTTCTGGTTCCAAGCATTTTGGATAAATGATACACAACCTGTACCACAGGTCTCAATTACTGTAGCCTCATATTATGTATTCAAATCAGATAGTATGAGTCCTCTTACTTTGTTCTTTTTTTAATAATGTTTTAGCTAGTTTAGGTCCTTGGTATTTTTCTAGAAATTTTAGAATCAGCTTGTCAATTTCTGTAAAAAAGCCTGCAGGGGGTTTTGACATTGCATGGAATCTGTGGATGATTGATGTGCAATGTTTAGCCTTCTAAATCATGAATATTGTATATCTGTTTATTTCAGTCTTCTAAAATTTATTTCAGTAATATTTGATAGCTTTGAATGGATAGGTCTTGCACATATTTTGTTTAATTTACCCCTGTTTTATGTTCTTACAAGGTAATATAAATGGAGTGTGTGTATGTATATAGTTGTTTTATATTTCATTTTCCTATTTCTCACTGCTAGTTTATAGAAGTGTAATTGATTTTTCCATATTGGCTTTGTATCCTGGAACCTTTCTAATAAGCTCACATATTAGTGCCAGTAGCTCTTTTATAGATGGTTTGGTATTTTCTACATAAACAATCATGTAGTTATGAATAAGGACAGTTTATTTCTTTTACCAGTCTGAACGCCTTTATTTCTTTTTCTTACCTTATTGTACTTATTGGCTAGGACCTTCAGTATAATGTTGACTAGGACTAGAGAGAGCAACATACTTGCCTCGATCCTGATCTTAGGACAAAAGCATTTACTGTCTCACCATTAGACATAATCTTACTTGTAGGTTTTTGCATAGATGGCCTGATAAAGGTTGAGGATATTTCCTTCTAATCCTGATTTTCTGAAAGTTTTATGAATGGATGTTATAAATTATTTTTATGGATCAGTTCCTATGATTGTTTTTCTCCTTTAGACAGTTATATCCTATGTAATCATTGATATTATTGGATTTAGATGTACTATTGTATTATTTATTTTCTGTTCATCCTCCCAACCAAACTTCTTTCTGTTTTTTTTTTGTTGTTGTTGTTGTTTCTCTTCACCATTCTCCTCTTTGGAATATTTGACTATTTTTTAAATTAAACATTCCATGTTGACATAATTGTAGATTCCCATGCCCTTGTAGGGAATAATACAGAGAGCTCTCATGTATTCTACCTAGTTTCTACTAATGGTGACATCTTGAAAAGTTATACTACAAATCACAAGGATATTGACATTGAGAAAGTCAAGATACAGAACATTTCCATTACTACAAGGGTCCCTCATGTTGCCTTCGTATAGCTATACCCATTCCTTCCCACTCCACCCCTTCTTAAGCCCTGGCAACTATTAATTTGTTCTCCATTTCGTCACTTAAAGAATATTACGTAAGTGAGGTCATACAGTATGATACTTTATGGGATTGGTTCTTTTCACTCAGCATACTTCTCAGTTGGATTCATCCTGTTGTGAGTACCCAGAGTTTCTTCCTTTTTGTCACGGAGTAGTATTCCACCAAATGGATGTACCACAGTTTGTTTAGCCATTCACCATTTGAAGACCATTCCTATTTTCAACTTCATTGATTTCTGCTCTTATTATTTCTTTTCTTCTGCTTGATCTTTATTTCTATTATATGCATTCAGTGCTATAAATATCCCTCCAATTGCTGTTTTATCTGTGTCCCACAAATTATGATATGTTGTATTTTCATTTAATTCAAAATAGTTTCAAATTCCCCTTAAGACTTATTTAGAAGTAAGTATATCTTTATATTTCCAAATATTTGGGGTTTTCCAAGTATCTTTCTCATTGATTTTTTTGTTGTAATACTGTTATTGCACATAATATGATTTCTTATAAATTTGTACAGGTTTTAAGACCCAGAATATGTTCTATCTTGGTGAATGTTTCATATGCACTTGAAAAGAATGTATATTCTGCTGTTGTTGGATGCAGTGTTCTCTGAATGTCAATTAGGTGAAGTTGGTTGATGGTGCTGTTCAGATTATCTATACCTTGCTGGTTTTCTGTCTACTTGTTCTATCAATTATTGAGAGAAAGAGTGTTGAAGTCTCCAACAATAATTGTGGATTTGTCTGTTTCTCTTTCAGATGTATCCATTTTTGCCTCATGTATTTTGAAGTGCTGTTATTAGGTACATACACTTTTAGGATTGTTATTTCTTCTCAAAGAATTGACTGTTTTATCATTTTGTAATGTCCCTCTTTGTGCCAGAAAATCCTTCTTGTTCTGAAATCATTGTCTGAAATTAATGTAATTTCTCCAGCTTTCTTTTGGTTAGGTTTTCATGGTATATCTCCATCCCTTTACACATCTCTCTCCAGAGAGTTTCCTTATACCTCTCTCTACCCGCCCCCACCCCGCCAATTTCCCCTAATAGTAACATCTTGCATTAGTATGGTACATGTGTTACAACTGGTGAATGAATACATTATTATTAACTAAAGTCACATCTTACATTAAGGTTCACTCTTTGTGTTGTTCAGTTCTATGGGTTTTGTCAAATGCATAAAAATCCACCATTACTGTTTCATACAGAATAGTTTTCCCACCCTAAAAAAATACCCTGTGCTTTGCTTTTTCATCCCTTTTTCACTCTCTCCTGGCAAGTACTGATCTTTTTACTATCTCTATAGTTTTGCCTTTCCTAGAATGTCATATAGTTGGAATCATATAGTATGTAGCCTTTTCAGACTGGCTTCTTTCAAATAGCAATATGCATTTAAGTTTCCTCCATGTCCATGGCTTGATAGCCCATTTCTTTTTATTGCTGAATAATATTCCATTGTGGATCACTTTGTTTATCCATTCACCTATTGAGGGACATCTTGGTTGCTTCCAGTTTGGGGCCATTATGAATGAAGCTGCTATAAACATCATGTGCAGGCTTTTCTGTAGACATAAGTTTTCAACTCATTGTGGTTCATTTCCTTTTGAAGTCTGTAATTTTTTTACTGTGAACTCCTTTTCAGTGAGAGTTATTTTCCATGGAAATTCTGTGTACCCTAAGCTATGAAAGCATCACTGCAGAACTATTTGGATTGCCACTGCTGGGGCCCACTGGTTTCACTAATGCAGGAACAATTTATAGGTGAATTTATCAACTTCGGGGGTTTTGTATTATACTTCAAATGTCCATTTGGAATGCACTCCTACATGTGGTACAGGACTGTGGTTCTGACTTCTTGTAAGTAACCCCTGATTCTTCTTAACATTTTCATTAGCCAGTGGGTGGCATCTTTCTAGTTCCTATTTTACATACAGAGATGTCCTTGGTGACTCCCAGCTTTAAGCAGGTAGCTCAATTCTAATTCTCTGCATATTTGTGTCCTGTGGCCTAGAATTCACTTCACACTCATGATGAGAACCTTAGCCCCTCAACTGCAAAGCCACACAGCTTCAATTTCTGTTCACCCCCTCACTTTAAATTTCTTCTTCATTTTTGTCACATAATAAATTTATTTTCTTGGTTTGAGCTTGGCTGCATATTAAATTATTTTTGTTAAATTTGAGCCAGCATTTCTTTGTACTTGCACTCAGGGGAGGTGGTGGTGGGACATGGGGAGGGTCCATCTACATCAGCTCAAGTCATGTTGATAGGAGTTCACTGCAGGGCCTTTAGGGATTAATGTTATTCCATAACATTCTAGTGGAAAGACTTAACAAGTTTGATGATTCATTGCACTTTCTTCTAGAAGTCTGGCAAGTTGATGAGCAGATAGATCGCTACAAGGAAAGCCAAGACAAACTTCTGTGGCAAGCTGCATTCATAGGCAAGGAAACACTGAAGGATGAAAGTGATCAAGAATGCAGAACATGTAGAAAAAGCATTTATCTCAGCACAGACTTTGTTTCTGTAAGACAGAGACTCCCTAAATATTATTCATGGGAAAAGGCAT